AGGGTATATACATTCCTCCGAGAGTGAGGTGCTTATAGGTATGGGGTATATAAGTGTACAATGGCTCGTTTATTTCAGTGAGGTTTTTCCTCAGATAATTTATAATTGTATATAAATTTTAGCTTGATTCCTCTGCTGAAATGAGTTGGGCTTTCAAATCTCTGAGGCAAAAAAAAAAAAAATAGTACTGATAATCTGGCTGTCACTGTCAAGAGTTACTGTGCAGAGCTGGTCCTCGTGTCAGGCAGGGCCGGTGTTCGGAGACCTTCACTCACACTAGTGAGCACTGAGAGGAGTCCTGCACTCGCTCCCTGGAGTGCTCGAACCCTCTCTTTCTCGTGCAACCAAACTTAAACAAGCACAAGGAAATTTTGCATGCAAGAACTATAGATTAAGGCAGAAGTAAACTGTTTCATGGTCCTCATATCAATGCAAATAAACCCTGCTACGGCTGGTAACATGGATGTGTTCGTTATATACAGACAAACGTGGAACGATGTAGTTCAGCCCATTCTTCAGTTGCTCAGAACTTTCTGCCAAATATGTTTGCAGCTCTCTGTTCCTCGTGCCTGGTCTGACTTCGACACTGAATTCTCTTGTAACTTGTCATTCTCTGTAGGGGAATCGATGGGGCTCCCTTCAGGATGCATTTGAGATGTTGGACATCAGAGGGAACGATCATTAATTTTCAAAAATGCTAGAAATGCAGTAATAAAATAAGAAATAGGTTTAAGCAAAATTGCAGACCTGAACAGACTGAAATTTGCAGCCATTAAAATTCCAATCCCTCATACAATTATTATTTTTTTTTTTTCCCCCCAGACAGGTTTCCCTTCTTCAGTCTAACCAAGAACTAAACCCCAAATGTAGGGCAGCGGAAACCTGAATTAGAACTCATCTCTCAAAAAATATGTCAAACACGAAATCAATGTAAACATTGAATTGAAGTCATTTATAGAAATAGCTTCACTTCCTTTTCTCTGCAGATGGAAAGAGTTGCCTCATGCCTCTCATTCTGCCTACCAGAAAAAAAACAAGGTGCCCTATCTCCCAGGGCAGGGGAAAAGAGAGTGGGGAATCAGATGACTTGCATTTGTGCTTTGGAAGTTGCTTAAATTTTCTACTTAATTTGATTAATTTTTCAAAGTACACCATGGAAAGGCAAGTGGCTTCTTTATTGATCGGTTGGCAATCCTGTGCTGCTTTTATTTTTCTGCAGTTAAACAAAAATGCAAACAAAATATTTACGAAGCAATCGTTTTAGTTTAGTGAAGATACGCAGTATTTTTTTCTAGAGGTATTTAGAGAGCAGAGACTTAAGATTCAGTGTTTGTCAGAAAACAGGAGCTGCATGTAGTTCTTTCTTTGTCTCTCCTTTGATTGGCATGCATTGTGTCAATTAATTGAATATATATATATATTTACACACACGCTAAGTTATTGCCTCCGATAATAATGGAGATGCTTTTTCTGCCTTACCTAAAGAACAAGTGCATACTTGAAAGTTATTCACCAGCCTTTGTAGGTCAACTTCTTCCATGGAGCTTTGTTTCAATTGTCAGATCATAAAGCCACGGAAGGGTATAGATCGTGTTGCGTGTTCGGAGTGCTGGTAACAAATGGCACATTTTAGCATTTGGTCCTCTAGGTAGGAAAAATTAATCAGATGTCTGACAAGATTTGTTATTCGTCTGTATTTCAGGCTCCCTTTTTTTTTTCTTTTTTTTTTTTCCTGGCTTACAACAAATATTACTAACGGGTACTTTTAGGTTTTAAAATATGGACAACAGTACTCCATGCAGTAAAAGACTTGAACGATTAATGCTACCCTTATGCCTCTTTTGAGTAGTTTTAGCCATGGGGCTTGGCACTGCCACCATTGTCTTTGTGCCAAAAAATATCCGCAGCGGCTGCCGCATTCTAGTACTAGAGGGTTGTCTCGAAAATTCCGCAGTGAATGCGTCGGGTGTCTACATCGCTGTAGACGCTCTTTCTTTTTTAAAACATTTAAAAAAAAAAAAAAGGAGAGAGAATCTTTAGCTCTTGCAAACCTCAGAAAACGCACAGTACAGGCTGGGGTGTTCAAGTGACTGAAAATGATGCATAATGTACAGTAAACGTAGAAATTCAGGAGAAGCTTTTGTATTTGTGAGCACAAATAGTTGCTTAAAGAGCCTACTCTTGCATATTATCAGCACTCTTGCAAATTTTATTATCTGAAACAAATGTGCCAGTGAATTTTAAGCAGAAAATCAACATCAAGACTGTAGCTAATTTTAAATGGACAGTTTATACAAAAGATATTCCCCCCCCCCAAATGAAGTGTCATTACAAAAAGTATGATAATTTCATAATTGCAGTTGATAGTGAAAATGTACGTATGTATATCTTTTTAACGGTTTCTTGACTTTTTCACAAATTTCGGTTATTTGTTCTTAATCGAGAAGGCAGATTTCTAGCTGTATGTGGGAACAACAACAACAAAAAAATGTAATAAAGTTAAAGGCTTACACTATCAGAATGAAATGTGTTCACTCATGATCTCCAAAGCTATCTGTTTGGTGGTAAAAGTGGATGCTATAGATGAAATCTTTACAAGGAGCATAATCCTAAAAAAAAAAAAAAAAAAAAAAAGTCAATCTCCTGCTGGCTGCTGTGCCGCTTTGGTACCTCACAGACTTCGACAGAGTCCTGGACGAGTGCCCATTGATGTCATGGAAACACTCAAATTACTGAGAATGATTCATGTCTATGCTGTTCTCTTATCCTCCCCCACACAAATAGAAGTAGATTTTAACCCTGACAACTTGTAATTTGCAGTGGGTTTATTTTTGTATCTGGATAAATATTTTTTAACAACTGAAATTAAGATGAGGCTGCCTGTGTCTGATACGATAGAAAAGAAGATTACCGATACCCAGGCAGCAGCGAGAAGTGCGTTCAAAGTACCTTGTGTCGCTGCTTGAACTTGGTTCCCCTCAACCCTATTTTTCTGTTTGGGATTTTTCCCCCCCCCCCTCGTCCTCACCGCTTGCTGTTTGCATCGACGTTCTGGCCCTCTTGGGGTGATGGGAAGTAGCACATGTAACTCCAGGCGTGCCAGCAAGACATTTTGTTTTCAGATCTCAGCATTGGACGACTCGGGGGTTCACGATTAAAATTTCATTGTCTTTTCAATCTTGAATTATTTCTGCAAAGGCTTCCAGTACTCCAAACCTGAGGGGGGCTATGGAGTGGGTGATCCATCATTTTTGTATAACCAGATACAAGTGCTTTCAAAAGTTATTACGTGTGCCAATGTCCTATGAATTGCAAATAAATTTTGGGGGTTCCCGTGTATAAGTAACTACTTTAGGTGGAAAACAACAAAACCAAAAACAATCGAGAAACAAAAGCAAGGTACGGAGTCTTAAATTATTATGGGGAGAAAGATGATTTTTTTATTCCAAACCACTCACAACAGTCAAACTTTATCAATAATACCTCTAAATGATGCTCAAACCTACTAGCTGCATATTAAAGGAAAGGCTTGTGGGCTCAGTCAGAATGTGGCCACACCATATTGGGAATGATTAAAATTAACTCCATCATCCTTTGTCTAACGATCTGCCTCACCATGGGTTCTTTATGAAATCTGGATCGCGTGGGGAAACCTGAGGGGGACGTGCCAGCTAGGGACCCCTCATCCACTGCCTGCCTTGCTTGGGCCCCTGAAATTTGTGAGGTCGGTGGATATTGTCATTATCGTGATCTGGTATTTCCAAATGCAGTTAAAGGACGTTTTTTAATGGCTTTGGTAGGTGTATCAGCACAGCGGCTTTATCTCGGCGGCGCAGGGTTTGGTGTAGGGCTGTCACCCCATCTCTCGTACGCAGGGGTATGCAGCCGTGTGGACCTGGCTTCTAGGTGCAGAGGTGTCCCCGGCATTGCTGGGCGTTGCACACAGAGATAAACTGAGCATCTGGTCCCTAGTAACTGGTACTGTGTGTTGTGGGTTTTATGTCCCAGCCTATAATAAAAACTTTAATTTTATGAGTGATTTTTACTGTGTTCCTGGATGTTTTGTTAGATAATACCTCCCCCCCTCCCGTGATTATCCTCACCATAAGGGTGGTCTTTTAGTGTCAATATGTTTTGTATCAGCCCTCTTGACTGCTCTTTGTCTCCGGAGCACGTGGTGCAGTGCTGCTCAGCCATGACTTAATGCTTTGCAGAAACCACCTCTTCCCTTCTTGATTTTGCTCGAGTCTGGCCATTCAAACCTGAAAGAACCTTTATTTTTCTTTGTAAATATGGCATAACTGTAACCGGTACTGCAAGTCAGGCTGTTGGATCTGAGTGTTAAAGGCTTCCTGGGAAAAAAGGGAAAAAAAAAAAAAAAAGTACAGTACTTAGGGCTGGCAGAGAGTCGCGGCAGTCATTGGGCCCCCGTTCAAGTCCCAGCGCCGCTGGGGCAGCCCCAACGTTGGTAGCGAATGGCAAATTCCCAATCAGTGTCTCTTTCCCAGGTGTAAATTCCATCATCACCTTGATCATGGGGGAATTTGCTCCTGGGGAAGAGAGCGGGGAGCGGCATCCCCAGCAGCTCCTGGGCGAAGCTGGCCGTCCGGAGAGCCGGTGAGGGACTCGCCGTGCCCCCCGCGCGGTGGTGGGACTGGTAGGGTGCCTGGGTGCTCAGCCCCCGAGCCGGAGGGGAGGCACGCAGGAGGTCTGCTCACACCTTCAGCCAGCCGGTGGAAGCCCGTTAAATCCCGGTTCCAGGCAGCGTGTGGAGCGGCGCAGCTGAGATTAGGAAGTTTATTTCACATCACCATCCTCAGCATGAAAAAGTGTTAATCTCTTTCTGTTGCCTACATGCGTTACGCAGTCAGCAGTGCCTATTTTACATATGTAAACAGCACTAGGAAAATGTGGTGAACATCATCTAAAACGCTTGGAGAAGCTATATATATCTGTTTATGTCCGTTATACATCTATTTTTTTTTTTTTTTTGTTAACAGGTAAAACAGAAAGGGGTTCATACTCATCATATGGAAGAGATTCGAATTTACAGGGTTGCCACCAGGTAAGTGAAAGTCTGCTCAGCAGAGGGGTTGTGATAAATACTCTGATGAATGAGGTTTGCTTCTTAAAGTTGTACATCTTGGGGATAGGCTCCGTCGTAAACGGCGATGGCTGCAGATGTGCGTTTCTCAGAAACGGGCTTTATTTGCAAATGCAGGTTTTAAAGCTCCTGCCTGAGCTTTTCTAGCCAGGATGCAGTTACTGGAGACTACGAGTACTTGGGTTGACCTAATACCGCCCTAGTCAGAGCTGCTGTGAACTATTGATTATTGTCCCTTGCAACAATGCCGCACTGTTCAGCGTGTCAGGTCTTCCCAACAGCACAACTTCAGAAATTACAGAAGTGGAAACACACCGCAGAGCTTGTGTCAGCCCCTAGCTTTGGATGGCTACTGCAATAAATTATAGTTTTCATAGAATCTGTATGATGTTGTGTGAAAACAAGGTTGTATTGAGGGATAAAAATGTCTGTGAAAATATGATTTGTTGTCCCTTTTTGTTTCTGAATTGTTTTTGGCTGGAAGTCAAGGCCAGCAGGCTAACAGCAAAGCCGTCTCAAGGGAAGCATGCGTGAGCTAGAAAAATAAGAGTAGTTTAATTAAATAATAAAATGCCAATGTAATACAAAGGTATAGCATGTGTGTGTGTGCCTCTCTGCGCTTTGCATTTGCATACTTTTAATTCTCCAGAGAAAGTCTGAGTCTAAAAATACTATCAATAGTCAAAAGTCTGTGCTTTGTTTCAAGACAATTGATTTTTTTTAAAAGACCCTTTCTTTTTAATTTCAGTAGCAATATTAATTGCGTGTTTAAATTCATTTTGTTCTTGAAGAGTGCTAGGCTTCCTTTCCTTTTCTAAGTGCAGTAGCTTTGCACTTTGGAAAACTATTGAAAGAATTTAATAGCCTTCTTAATATTCAAAGCTTTATACCGTTCAAATCTGCCAGGGGAAAAAAAAGCAACCAACAAAAAACCAGCCAAAATGCATATTATTTCCCTATAGGAAAGGGAAATACTTGATCCCTTCTTTCCTTTCGTATGTCCGTGTTCTTTAATAATGAGAGGAAACAGCCTATTCTTATGGGTTTTTTTGGTTTTTGTTGTTTTTTTTTTTTTAAACATTTAGTGTAGAAAAATGAAACCATTTGAGCAATTAAACAGAAATTTCTGTTCGCAGTGCGCACGTGTATGCCATCAGGAGTGTCTGGAGGCCAGGGCTGTGCTCTCGGCCGGCTGTCGCGGCGTGCCCCTTCCCTCCGCAGCCCTGCGTGTGCCGGGGCGCATCCCGGCCCCTGTGCCTGGACGGGCTCCCGCGGGCGGACGGACGGACGGACGGGCGGACGGACGAGATCCCCTCGTTTGGTGGTTTATTTGGGCAGAACGAGCGGCGGGGGGGCGGGGGCCCCCCGTTCGC